ATTTATAAAAAAGAAAAATGGTGACTTGGATAAAAGAACTCAAGAGCTACACGCAACTCTGTATGCTCTTCTGGATGCAGCTGTATTCTTATTTTGCTAAACGTGGTTGATATTTAAGAACCCCCAGCCCCATGACAAGGGTTTTGAATTTGTTTTCACTATTTGTACCTCATGATATGGTATGGAGATTGGGGAAATAATCCTTTAATAATGAGCCAGAGCTGGACTGATAGAAACATACTCTAGACCCTGATTGGTGAAGCCAGAGAGAGATGTCATTTCCTAAGAAACAGATAATAAGAGAAATTTAGAAAGCAGTTGCAGAATGAAGAGCAGAGAAGTGATGATGATTATTCAGAAAAAAGAGGGACATTGGGACTAGAGACATAGAGGAAGACCTGGATAGTGATTATAGACATCTACTAATAAGGAAAGAGGGTCCAGTGGCTAAAAAGGAAGAAATAGTTTGGATTTCATCTGTTTGTACCTACAGACTAATTAGCAAGGACCCAACTGTCCCAGGGACCAGACTTAAAAGAAGTAAAGTTGGCGTGGTAGAAAAGAAATCTGAGTTATTAAAGTATATCCAGCTAAATTATGCACCTAAGCTATTTGTAACTCATTTACTTGAGTATATATTTTATAGATAACATACTCATATGTAGTAAAAAAAGATCTTGTACTATAAACTGTAGTTGTGATTTGAATGACTTGCCTGAGCAGGATGTGGAAGAGGATCCTGTGTCTCTTGATGGCAGCCCCCAGGTCAGTCTAAAAAGAAATAAAATGTCTTGAATTTTGGTTTGCATTAATAGAAGGGATTCAAAGTAAACACAGGGTCTCCTCTCTGAGGGGAGTATTGTTAATTTATTATTAATTTAGTATCAATGCCTTCTTCTAAAGTTGCTATAAATTGAGGACCCTCTAATGTTTTTTTTAACCCATGGGTATTAAAGAGTAAACTGTTACAAATCAAACTCAGTCCTACTCTTGATAACGTTGTGGTTATAAGACTAATTTTTGCATAGAGAGTGGTATAAAACTCACATTTTCTTCCTCACAAGTTGGATTGATTCTTTAAAACGATAGCAAGAAAAATCATGAAAAGTAGCCCAAATACTCATTCCTTTATCTAATGTCTCATTGCTTAGCAATTTTCTTCACTGTCATCTTTCAGTGGGAAAATACCTAAAATTTATCTACTGAAATTCAACTGAACAGAGTAATTTAAAACAAATCAATAGGCATACTAATAATAAGGTAAACATTCAAATGCAATACAGCATTTGTTTCTAATTACCACTTCATCAAGTCCCAGTTACAAATTAAGTCTCTTTATTTCAATTAACAATTTAATGGTGCTTTAGAGAGATAAAGAATGTTTTAAAAAGAAACCAAACCGCTGATAAAGCACACCCAATTTTCTCCCAAAAGAAAACATGGCAAAAGCATCAAACTATGAGAAAAAGCCTGAGATAGATGATTTGTGGAATGTACTGTCCACCACAGCTAGGAGATGTAGATAATGTTCATTTTGTGTGTTTTATGTTTATTTATTTTTGAGAGAGAGGGAGAGACAGAGCATGAGCAGGGGAGGAGCAGAGAGAGAGAGGGAGACACAGAATCTGAAACAGGCTCCAGGCTCTGAGCTGTCAGCACAGAGCCCAACGCGGGGCTCGAACTCACGAACTATGAGATCATGACCTGAGCCGAAGTCAGACGCTCAGCCAACTGAGCCACCCAGGCGCACTCATTTTGTTTGTTTTATTTGCCAAGACCTTCTCTCCTATTCTGTACACGTCTCTTCTGATATCCTATATGGGGGAAAGGCCAGCTAACTAGGTATGCATCTACCTAACAAATATTATTGAGCACCTGTCTTGTGCCAGGCACTTAAGTGCCAGGTCATGAGGATTCAGTGATGAACAAGACCTAGTTCCTTCTCTTAGGAACTTCTCTTGTTTAATGGTAGAGACAGATATAATAGTCATAGTGTAATGTGTCTAAGACAGTAACTGAATAAGAAGAACTATAATGAAGATTGATAAATTCATTTAAAGTGTTATATCATTTCATCCAGAGGTTTTTTTTTTTTTTTTTTCAACGTTTATTTATTTTTGGGACAGAGAGAGACAGAGCATGAACGGGGGAGGGGCAGAGAGAGAGGGAGACACAGAATCGGAAACAGGCTCCAGGCTCTGAGCCATCAGCCCAGAGCCCGACGCGGGGCTCGAACTCGAACTCACGGACCGCGAGATCGTGACCTGGCTGAAGTCAGACACTTAACCGACTGCGCCACCCAGGCGCCCCTCATCCAGAGGTTTTTAAATGGACAGAGGAATATTTCTTCTCTCTCTCCCTCTCTCTCTCTCTCTCTCTCTCTCTCTCTCTCCACACACACACACACACACACACACACACACACACACACACACTGCTGCTATGGGTGAAATTCCAGGTGTATGTAGTAAAGTTGGTGATATATTGATACTCATGTAGGGACCCACAAACTCTGTCTATAACAGTGAGCTTATTACAAATGTTAATTCCAATTCTTGGCTGGATAAAGCCATAGAATGTTAGAGCTTCAAGGAATTACTGAGTATATTTAATTGACTCATTTTATGGAGAGAAAACTGAGACCTAGAAGAACTAAGTCATTTGCTCAAGAAGACAAAGATAATCATTGGAAGTCAACATTAGAGATCAGCTCTCCTAATCCTTAGTACAACATGTTGGAGATACTTTGTTTTTACTCACAATGCTGGCATTTGCTTGTCATTATCTAACTTGACCTTTCTACAAACTCAGTATCCATAACTCTTACTCTGTCTGCTATGATGATGATGAAACCTTCCATGTCAGTAGCCACATCTGCTAAATGAAGTTATTACTTTTCATTAAAAACTTTTTTAACATTTATTTATTTTTGAGAGAGAGAGAGAGAGAGAGAGAGAGCAAGCAAACACGGGGGCATGGAGCAAGGGCAGAGAGAGAAGGAGAGAAAGAGAATCCCAAGCAGGCTCCACATTGTTAGCTCAATACGGGGTTCAAACTCATGAACTGTGTATCATGACCTGAACTGAAGTCAGATGCCTAACTGACCTAGCCATAGAATGTTAGAGCCACCCAGTTGCCCTGGTACTTTGCATTTTTAAAATAAGATTTAGAAGGAACAGAGAAACTCAAGATAGAAAGCCATTCTGAAAATTCTTAAGTAATGTCTTGTAGCTTTTTTTGAAGGATATCATCAACCTAAAATAAATGTCTGCTGGGCTTGTATTGGTTAATACATATTTTTTCTGGTTCATGGATAGTGTATTAGTTTCCTGTGATCACTATAGCAAATTATCACAAACTTGGTGGCTTAAAACAATAGAGATTTATTCTCTCATAGTTCTAGAGGCCACAAATTTGAAGTCAGTATTGCCGGGCTACAATCAAAATACTGGCAGTGCCCACCACTGACTATCGGGGAGAATAGGGTACTTGACACTTCCAGCTTTTGGTAACTTTTACTATTCCTTGGCTTGTGGCTAAATCACTCCAGTCTCTTTCTCTGCGTAATATTGCTTTCTCCTCTTCTCTGTCTCCCTCTTGTTAGGACATATGTGAATGCCCTTAGGACCCACCTAGGTAATGCAGGATTATCTCCCCATTTCAAGATCTTCTGCTTAACCACATCTTCAAAGCCCTTGTTTGCCAATAAGATAACATTCACAGGTTCCAGGTTTTAGGATGTGGGTGTTGGTGAGGGGCCATTATTCAGCTCAGCACAGGTAGGGAACTGGATATCCATTCTTCAGTCAGAGACCATGACACAGAATTTCTTCTTGCTTTTGTTCCATTAATTTTGCACATAATTACTTTACTTGGATCTTTTGGGGACTTTTTCCTAGATTTTTTTTTGCTACATCTCTCAAAAATACCTTACAATTTTTCTCATGGCCTGTCATTTATGATTTTTTTTTCCTAAGCATTTGGCCATCTATCTTGGTCAGTGCTCTGAAGTAAACAAAATCACTTTGGAACTGAATAAAAAATCAGGAAGAAGAATCAAGAGATCTTTGTTTTACATGTTAAAACTTCGTTGTTTTTTGTGTCTATTTTTAGAGTCAGAGGTAATCTGACCATGACTGCTGTATTCAAGGAATCAGTGTTCTTACTCCCAACCACACAGGCAGATAAGATGGCTGGGTGCTTTCATAATCACCATTGATTCACTGTCAGATGGATCCATTCTCTATGACAACTTTTCAATATTACAGACTTTACCAACTAAAAAAGGCATCCCCTCATCCTGTGTACAGAAAAAAACATTGGTGAATAGAGATGACAGCCAGAAGCCTGTGGCCAGAAAATAAATATAAACGTGTCCTTTCATGCTGTGTAAGAACTCCTGGGCTAGAGGTGGACTCTTCAGTGTGTCTTGTCTGGTTTTCTGATTCCAGTTGATATCTAGGCATACAATGCAGCTTTATGGTGGGCCCAGAGGGCACCACAAATTGTTATGCATGAAGTATGGAGTTCAGCAGACAGGCCATTCAGGAATAAGACTTAGTATTGGTCAAGGACATTGGACTGAGCCACTGTGAGATGAGAGATGAGACTACTTCTGAGACGGGTTTCCTAAGCAGTGTGACTGGGTTCCATCCTCACAGGTGACTTCTGGCCCAGGTCGGAACAGAGCTTCCTGGTGGTGGCAGCTGCAGAGAGGAGTTAGTGGGAAGGACTGAGAACCAGACCTTTATTGACTGCATTAATCCCTATGGCTGTATTTGCCAACTTCCTGCTGAGTTTTTTTGTGAAACACAAGTTGCACTCCTCCCAAAGAGAGCACCTATAGTAAATTCATCTTCATTCACAGCAACTCAATTCATATGGTAAAAACTTAGTGCTGTTTGAACTTTTTGATTCCTTGTCAAATGTCAAATGTAGCATGCAACTTTTCCTATATAAATTCCTTTCCTATGTAAATGGTACTTAATCTTTTCTTGAAGGGTGAAGATGTGAACATGTATTTTTTTTCTCCAGTCCAAAGAGAACCAGATTTCTCAGATTGTAAGTAATTTACTTTCAATATTCTTTCAAGAGAATTTCAAGAATTACAAATGGTAAGGTAATACTATTTAAAAATTTTTTTAAAATTTTATTTATTTTTGAGAGAGAGAGATACACAGAGCATGAACAGAGGAGGGGCAGAGACAGAGGGAGACATAGAATCCAAAGCAGGCTCCAGGCTCCAAGCTGTCAGCACAGAGACTGATGCAGGGCTCGAGCCCATGAACTGTGAGATCTTGACCGGAGCTGAAGTCAGACGCTTAACCGTCTGAAGCCACCCAGGCACCCCTGCTATTTTTACTTTGGAACATGACAAGCTATAAAATCAAGGGAAAAGAAAGGTTGAATGTGATCTCTGAAAAGACAGCTTTAGTGTATTGCAACAAAACAAGTTAGAATGACTAGAAGTCTTGGGGCACCTGGCTTGCTCAGTTGGGTAAACATCTGACTCTTGATTTCAGCTCAGGTCATGATCTGAAATGAGTTTGAACCCGTGCCAGACTCTGTGCTGACAGCTCAGGGCCTGCTTGGGATTCTCTCTCTCCCTGTCTCTTTGCCTCTCCCCCACTCACGATCACTCTTTCTGAAAATAAAGTGAATAAAAAAAAAAAAAAAAAGAATGATGAGAAGCCTTGGTTAACTGCATGACCACAGGCTTATCAGAGAGAGCATCTGTGTCCTAATAGGTTAAATGTAAAATAATATTGAACTTGCTGTGTTGTAAGGAGGCCATCTGTTTGTAAACAGGAAAATCCATGTTAGATGTTGTTGTCCACGTGGCTTAGTTATAATGGAGAAATGGTCTTCAGCTGTGTGATGATCCTCTTATAAATGAGTAGACTAGATCAACATTTACATTCAGGTTCTAGCTTGCCCATAATTTTCTTGGCTCCTTTTCCAGATCAAATGTGGCAGCAGTTGTGCCTGAAATTAGTCTAACTGCTCAGACACCTGCACTTCTGTTTGGTCACCCTAGTCTCTTTTCCAAAGCTGAGTGCTGTGATCATTCATTCTCATCAGCATTGGCTGCTGTTATTGAGCCCTCATAGGTGAGCATCAGCAGGTCCCTCAGAGAGCAGCTCCAAAGTCAGCAACCTATCATAAACCTACCAAGTCAAGAACACCTTCCAAGCCTTCTTCTCTCAGAGGCTGGAAGGAGAACACAATATGATCAGGACTGGGAATGAGGTACTTCAGTCCTGCACATTCTCTATGTTTTGCTTGATCTCTCCAAGGGATAAGGAATGTTGTTATTGCTGCTATGGCCACTCCTCTCTTACCTCAGTCTTAGGGCATACTGGACACAGTGCATATGGCCTTATTGGTTTTGAAACAATGACATTCTTCTGTAATAGTTTGTAAATAATTGTTGCCTAGGGCTCTGAATAACTCACATTGCCCAGGTGTCAGTCGCAGACTTCTCAAGTCCCTCCTTCATCTCCAGCAATGAAAAGGTCAGCCTGGCACAGTAGGAGGTCTCCAGATCTTTCTGGTGGCCTTTTCTGATTATGAATGGTGATTTGTTGTTTCTTTTTTCTTTTTTTAATTTTTTCTAATGTTATTTATTTATTTATTTATTTTGAGGGGGAGAGAGAGAGAGAGAGAGAGAGTGCACACACATGGGTGGGTGAGGGGTGGAGAGAGAGGTTGAGAGAGAGAATTCCAAGCAGGCTCCATGCTGTCAGCCCAGAGACTGATGTGGAGCTCAAACCCATGAACCATGGGATCATGACCTGAAAGAGACACTGAACCAACTGAGCCACTCAGGGGGCCCAGATTGTGAATGGTGATTTAAATACCTCTTCTAGCTGTGTCCCTTTTGGCTTTCATTATCATGAAATTTTCAGGATAATGTCGAGAATATATTGCTCTCTATTTGCAAATGTTTAACTTCCATTCAAGAATAAATACTGATCAAGAGCTTACCATGACCTAGGCATTATTCCAGGTACTAGTGATTTTTCAGATGTACATCTTATAGATATCACAGGAGATGATTTTGGCTCATTCTACCTTGAGCCAAAGGGGGGAAAAACTTTCACAGATATTTATAAATCTACTATTTTTTACTGATTATGATAACCTCCTGTCACCATGACAAACCACATCCTTTAACAGGTGAGGTCAGCTCATTTGAAGACAGCTTCTCTTGGACCTTTAACTTCTTCATCCCTGAAATCATACTTCATGCAAATTTATGCTTTGAAAAGTCCAGGTAGTTAAATATTTACATATCATGTAGAAGTGAAGAGACTGGATCTTAAAACCCTGTTTTCCTGGGAAAATGTAGAATATAGCACATATATTCCAAAGCAATTGTGGGGAACATAAAGATAGACATTGTGCATCAACTGGTCAATGCAACATTAATTGCTTCCTTCAGAAAACAAGTCATATCCTTTTCAACCTCAGAAAACCAGAAGTATAGTGATAAACACATTTAGTAAGTTTCCTGCCTGTCCTCATATTTTCCCCTCTATTTTTCTTATAGAGTTAGATTTCTGCAAAAGTAATACTCCTTAACACTCTGTCACACTCGGGCAGACACTTTGTGAATTTAGATGCCACACAAATTCCAAGTATATTGTGAGGTCTCTGAGTTGCTTGATAAGATTTGTATACAGTTCACACCTAGTTAATATATGATTAAATGAATATCCAGTAAAATACAAATTAAATTGGCTTTCTATCTACAAACAGGGTTGCAAGAATGACTTATTATAACCTGCACATAGAGAAGAAGAGCTTTGTCACAGTGAGTGTGTTTGTCAACCTTATAATGAGTCATACATTTTCTTTTTGCTTTAAGATTGGAAATATCCCAGTAAAAGAAACAGTTTGGAAAGCTGTAGAAAATAACTGGACTGTCTCAAGTCCTCAGAAGTAACATTGTGATCAAAACTTTCCCATTGTCATAAAGATGTGTGCTTTGGGGCAGGGGTGAGGGAGAAGGAGAGAGAGAGAGAATGGAGAGATAAAGAGAAACAGAAACAGAAAGAAAGCATGCACACTTCAGCAGGTCTCCTACAGATAAGCCTGACTTCCTGAGTGGCTGTGGGGGCACTAGTCATGGATACCAAACACTATGTGATATCCATTACATTTCAGTCAAGAAGTTACAAAACAGCTCTGAATATTTTCTGAATATTTCTTTCCATGTGCCTGTTCAGGATGTGTCTTTATGACATAAACAATTTTTAGCCATGTTTATCCAGTGTTTTTCTTTTTCTCACAGAGACTACCATTCTTTTGCTCTACAGTTTACACAGTGTTCCTATCCCCAATTGCATACAATCCTTACCTCACAGTTACTGGTAGGTCTATTTGGGCTGGTCATGAAGCCACCAGTAAGCATGGGAGCTTTTTGGCTCCAGATGTAAGGTAACAGCTGTGCTCATCTGGGAGCTCAAGGCTGCAGGAGGACAAAGCAGGGTAGCTAATTCTCTGGGGTTTTGCTAACCATAGCATCCTTGGCCGATTGGATTGCTATAGGGAATCTTCTGATTCATACATAGAACATCACTGTCCAAAGCATCACAAAAATCAAATGTGGTATAAAGTTTTTGCTTTAGAGCTACAGCATGGCTGTTTGTAGTTGGGTTGAGGAATAGATACATTTATTGTCTCAAAGAGCCATTCTTGTGGGACCCAGAAAATGGTTGTGGTAAACCGTTCCAAATACTCTATGCAGTCAAGGCTTAGTTACCTCAGTTATAACCAGTATGATGGCTCTCCTCAGAGGACTATAAAAATTAAATAATCATCAAGAATTTGCAAACATAAGCTCATGGAAATGTCTAGCAAATATGTCAAACATAAATGTTCTTTTTCTGGTAGAAGAATGAGAAAGAAGCATATTTTATTGGATTCTTATGAGTGCTGAGAGCCTGACCAGACTGTGATTGACTGGCTTCCATTCACTGAATCACAAAATCTCACAACTGGCATTGGGTACCTTGAGAGCATCTGGTTCAAATAACTTACATTGCAGATGAGAAAACAGAGGTTCTGATGTATTAAATTACTTGCCTAGGGTCATACAGCTTGTTTATGGCAGTGTCAACACTAGAAGCCCAAATTTTATGATGCCATAACTAGTTTCTTTCCCGGAAGTCCAGATGGACCTATAACCTGGAATTAGTACCTAGGAGAAAGATGGTAAAGATGTCACCCTGAGTCCTGACAGATTGGTAGGAAACCCTGACTGAGTGACAGGGAATCCTGGAGTTTGCATTAAGCAGGATTTTGGAGCTATATTCAGGCTGATCATTAAAAAGCTCCCAAGGTTAAATACCATTTCTTTCATGGAGGAAAAAAAGGAAGAAAGGCCAGATGCCACACATTTCTGATGTAGGAGCACCCCGTTTTCTTATGGTCATTTTCAGGTGTGTTTAAACTAGAGATGATAATTGTAGGAATTGATTTTATAAGATTTCAATGAGAGAAGACTTTAAAGAATAAGTCTGGACTTAAAATTGGTGATAAAATATTGTCAAGTCAACAAGTGCCTACTGTTTGCTCCAGCCTGTGCTGGGAAAGATGAGAGCTACAAAGAAAGTAGGAAAAAACCCATATATTCTGGTAACCTATACCACAGCAGAGGGAAAATCATTTAGTCCTCCTAATGGTATCATGGTAATTTTATATCAACACAGTATTTTACATTTTCAAAGTGCTTTCAATGCATTGTCTTATTTCGTATAGAGAAGGCAAAGGCATATGTGATTGTGTGCTTAAATTTCATGGCACTCTAAATTTTGTGGCATTTTGTAGATGTTTTAGGGAAGGAAATCTTTGAAGGGGAGAGAAGAAGGAAGGGAAGTTTGATTAATAAAAAGCCAGCTAAAAATAGAAGCAATATGTAGTACTTTAAATGATCAGTTGATGAATATTTTATTCAGGTATTCAAATGAGAGCTTCTTTGTCAATAAAAAGTGACTAAATGGAATCAATAAATTTATTGTAGGGGTTTCTGGGCAGCTCGGTCAGTTGAGCAACTG